AAATTCGTCCTGACGTTGTGGCTCCTGTTTACCCCCTCCTGACACACACCAGCATCAGCCCACTGAGGGCTCCTCATCTCCACTCAGGAGACAACAAAACCTCGTGGATTTTAAGCCATGTAAGTGATCTCAGAACCTGGCTGGTGTTCCCAGAGCCAGCAGAAGAGATGCTTGCCCTACAACAGTGCCCCAGAGATATGCAGAGAGACAGGAAAGCTCAGGTCATCACGAGAAGGTTTAGCTGTTGAGGTCATGCCTTTGAGTCCCACACCCATGGAGCAGCCAGTGTCCAAAGAAACTGGGACCATCACATGAGGAATAAATGAGCAAAACAAACCTTGCTGGGGCTGGCTGGAAAAGTCAACCTAGGCACCAAAATTTGGGTGGGGCTTTGAAGATGAAGCATCATGTGGGAACTTGCACTGTTGTTCCAAAGCAGCTGGAGGGTGGAATTGATGGGGCCATGCTGAGCCAGGCAGGCCAGTGCTCCTGGCCATGGTTGGGGACACTCCATGTCCTTGGAACCATCAGCTGTAGCTCCTAAAACGCCCTCAGCTAGAGAGGAAGGAAAGACCTGAACCCTCAAGGGCCAGCACATCTCCAGAGCTGCAGTCAGAGAGGAGGGAAGCTCATCTCCACCTACAAGCATCCAGCACCAGCATGGATAAACATGCACACCCCAAGGGAGGACTTTGGGAGCTCCTTTTTGCACCCTTCATGCCAGAGCAGGCATTGCACAGCAGAGCTCAGCCCAGGGCTGCCTGAGCAGCATCAAACACCTTCCACCAAACCTAGAGCTGCCCAGCAAGGTCGAAACCCCTTCCCAAGGTCCAGCCTGAGGACGGACACCCCACCTGCCCTGGATCAAGTCTTGCCTCCTCTCAGTACAAGGATGAGGTCACTGCCCTTGTTGGGGTGCAGCAAAGTCTTGAGGGCCACTACACAGGCAGGGCAGGCAGCAGGGTCTGGTGGAAGCCCCAGAGACACCCAGAACCAAGTGACCAGGAGGCAGAAGCCAAAGGGGACAAGGTCAAAGACAAGTTGGGAGACAGCTCCAACACCCACCCTGAAGATGGTGCCAAACCCAGACCTTGCCTCAGGTGCCAGCAACCCCCCCAAGGGACTCACCTGGGGCAGGAGCTGCTTGCAAGGGTGAAGTCCAGGAGAGCATGGCCAGGAAGAGGGCTCAACACTAGCAACATCCTTTAAGGAGAGAGCAGCACCCACAGCTGAGCTTAAAAAAACCTCCTGGGGCCATGGGTGGGGTGAAGGTCTCAGGTGAGGCTGTTTAGAGCCATCCAGGGCTAGGAGAGCCCATGGGAGGGTGTTGATTTGGCTCTGAAGTTGTCCAGGTTTTACTGGTCACATGGCAATGCCCAGCTGGGTCGTACTGGGGGTGCCACAGCAGCTGGTGCTGAGCCTGGTGCATGCTGTGTGTTGGTGCTGAGCCCTGAGGTGGCTCACGAAATCATTCATTCCTCTTGGCCAAAGTCTGTCCATGCTGGAGCTTCTCTCCCTTGTCCCAGGGAGGCACCTCTGTGCCTAGTGGATGCCCACTCCTGGGAGCCTTTATTTGAAGGTCTGAGGACCTGCCACCAACATCACCCTCCTCAAAACCTTGGAAATCACCTGAAATATCAGCAGGAAGAGGAGCAGTGCTGGGCACAGCTGAACATCTCTTCACCAGGGCTTGGGCCAAGCTACCAGAGCTCAGGATTTATGCACAGCCTTTTGGTAACTGTGAGCAAGATGGAGCTGCAAAAACAGAAATTAAATTGGTGTCACGTGTAGCCCATCCCCACCCGAAGTGGTTTGGTCCCCAGAGTCAGTACAGGCTTTGAAATCACAGATTTTGGGTCAGAAGTTGAGTTTTCAACCCAGAAGTTGGAGGTTTGGTGCCGCCAATGCACGAGGGATGATGATCAGGAGGTTGAGGTGGCACTTGTCACAGGGAGGGGTGGTTCCCAGGAGCTTCTAATCTGTGTGTCCCTCTTAGCAGCCATTAACTGGGGAGGTTAAAAAGCAGCATCTCCCATGGCTTGGCCAACATTGCCCATCCTGGCTACCCTAGCCTAAAACTGTGTGCCCAGCTCCTCCTTGGTTTCTTCTGCTGCAAGCTCTGAGCCTCGTTAGGGCTTTTTGGGGGGAGATGAGAGGGAGTTTTCTCTCCCAGGGCTGCTCTCCTGTGGCACAGTCTCAAATCCTGGTAGCAGACCACAACCCAAGCCTGGGAGGAGTTTCAGACCCTGGATCCCTTTTCTCTGGGACCCTGATGGGGGTCGGGGGGCACGGGTGGCCCCGATTCCTCCGGGGGCAGAACGCCCGGGGTGCCGGTGGCCGGGTCCCAGGCGGGTGCTGAGAATGGCTCTTTGTTCCCTGGCTCTAATTAGGGGGCCCAAGCAGCTCGTTAGCTGCTCTGCCCCACACCCTCCCGGCCCCGCAGCCGCCGCTCGGGGGGGAACCCCCCGCGGGGACCCTCTCAATGTGGATTTTGGGGTGATGTGGTGAACCAGCTCAAGGCGAGCTTGGGGTGAAGCCACCAGCTTCATTCATTCTCCAGGCACCCTAGAAGTCCTAGGGGGGCGCTCAGGGATGCCTGAGGAGGGTTGTTTGTGGCCAGAGCAGACATCCATCCAAAGCCTCCCCTGCAAACTCCCTCACAGTTTTCTGAGCAGAAAAACAACCAGCTGGCAGAAGCCTCTTGGTGGTGTTGGGAGCCAGGGACAGCACCAGCCCCACCATCCGTGTCCAGTGGCTTTGGGGAGTGTTGGAGGACGCTTCAGGCTCTGAGCCTAAGCAGATTCAGGGCTGGGGTGCTTCCCAGGGCAGAGCAGAGCAGAGCCCAGCCAGTGCCCCCCAGATCTGGGAGCACAATCAGCCCTTTGGGCAGCTCGATATGAACGATTTAGAAACGAGTTTTGGGCTCTTTCACGGAGGGAGCTTGCATTTGCATTTGAAAACCGTGGGGGACGGGAGCACTGGCCGGGTGCTATCAATGGGAAACTGTTCTGTCCAACGCTCCCGGGGCCAAGAAATGTGAACTCTGCAGATTTCTGGCTCTGTTCGTGGTCAGAGTTGCTGGCTCTGTTGTCAGCGCCCGGCTGCTCCACTCCCAGCGATTAAGGGCTCTGCTCAGAAGCTGGTTTTCCTTCGTGGCCAAAGCAGAGCAGGGTTTGCTGCAGGGTGGGGTGGATGGGGGTGTTGGGGATGTGAAATGGGGAGATCCAGCTCGCTGCATTCAAGGTGGGGAGGCTCCTTGTCAGCCCAGGATCCAATTCAGGGCTGTTTCAATGTTAAAGCAATCAGTTTGGCTTTGCGTTGGGAGGGGAGCTGAGACCTGATGCACTTGTGTCACCCAAGACCCTCTTCTGCAAGCTGGGGGGGGGGCGGGGGGATCACTGTCTGCTTTGTGCCTGTCCGTGTCCCCATCCCAGCCTGCAGTGCCCCAGGGGACACCACGAGTCTTTATGGTAAGACATTATTATAATGATTAAAACTTCTCAAGTAATCATGGTTAATAAATGCTCCTTTTTTTCCTCCTTTGTGGACTTTCACACCACTCCCCCTCCCCTCCACCAGCATAGCCTGCCCCCAGCACCCCCCCACAGCTCCTACCCCACCGTGCCCATCCTTCCTCCTTCCTCT